CGTGGGTCTTGAACTTCTGAATAATATGAGCCACTGTTGTCACAGGAACTTCAAGCTGTTTAGAGATGGTCTTATAGCCTGCACCTTTAAGATGTTTGTCTATAATTTTTTTCGGATGTCCTGGGACAATTCTCTCCTTCGCTTTCTGTTGTCCATGTTCAGTGTGGTACACACCTTTTCACCAAACAGCAGAGTGACTACTTGTCTCCCTTTAAATAGGCAGACTGACTGATTATGAGTTTGGAAACACCTGTGATGTCAATTAAAGGACACACCTGAGTTAATCATGTCACTCTGGTCAAATAGTTTTCAATCTTTTATAGAGGTACCATCATTTTTGTCCAGCCCTATTTCATTAGTTTGTTTTTTTTAAATAATTATGTTAATCAGCATTTCAAACGTAATGGCTGATTTTGATTATTTAATTTTCAATAAATTTTTATTTATTGTTACTTTTGTAGGTTTCAAGTGATTTCAGTGAGAATTGTGGGTTTTTCCTTCTTTAACTGAGGGGTACCAACAATTTTGTCCACGTGTGTATATATATACACTCTCTCTCTCTCTATATATATATATATAGAGAGAGAGAGAGTGTATATATATATATATATATATGTATATGTATACACTCTCTCTCTCTATATTATATATATAATATATATATATAATATATAGAGAGAGAGTGTATACATATATATATATATATGTATACACTCTCTCTCTCTCTCTATATATATATATATATATATAGAGAGAGAGAGAGAGAGAGAGAGGGAGAGAGAGAGTGTATACATACAGTATATATATATATGTATACACTCTCTCTCTATATATATATGTATATATATATATATATATATATATATATATATATATGTATACAGTAAATATATATTTACAGTATATAACAAGCCTAACTGTCCACGGTGATAAAAGAAGATAGTGTAAAACAAACATTGATGTCTTTGGTGCTGAAACAAGTTCACCAGGATCACCAGGTTCACTTCCTCAGGTATGATGGTGTTAATGCTGGGGTTGTAACTATGGTACACACCTACACACCTACACACACACACACACACACACACACACACTGATCACTGAGAAACAAGCTGGTGATCATCTCTCTGAGCCCTTATCTGCACAAATATTCCAGGATCTCACTCCAGGATTCAAGGATTCAAGGACCTCAACACTAGTGTGTGTGTGTGTGTGTGTGTGTGTGTGTCTGTGTGTGTGTGTGTGTGTCCGTCTGTGTTTGTGTGTGTAGTGTGTACATGTGTGTGTATGTGTCTTTGTGTGTATGTTATGGTTGAAGTTGTTGTGATTGATGAAGACCAGCAACCAAGGTCAGCTGAACACCTGCACACACACACACACACACACACACACACACACACACACACACACACACACACACACACACACACACACACACACACACACACACACACACACACACACACACACACACACGTTAACAGTATCTGTGTATTGTCTGAGTGTCAGTTTCTGCTCTGTGATTTATGATCCTCAGAGAGAGAGAGAGAGAGAGAGAGAGACAGAGAGAGAGGGTGAGAGGTGACAGGATGATGATGAGGATGAAGAGAGTGAAAGGATGAAGGCTGAAAGAGAGTCCTCTCTCTCTCGCTATCTCTCTCTCTCTCTCTCTCTCTCTCTCTCTCCCTCTCGCCCTCTCCAGACTTCAGATCTAGAATCTGGACCTGGTTCTCCTTAATCAATGAGACCTGATCAGCTGATTGATCTGGAGTCGGAGGTGTGTCGCTGTTTCCATCAGTTTAGCGGACGTGACTAACCTGAGATTATCAACATACTAATGAGACGATCCAATCAGAGGGTGAGCTGACTGAGGAGGACAACAACAGAACCAGAACTCAGACAGACCACTCAGCAGGTCCGATCAAAGAAACATCTGAGAAAAACACACCTGATCTGAGAAGACTGAGAGACAAGAATCACACCTGGACCAATCACACGCCTTCACACCTGGACCAATCACACGCCTTCACACCACACTTCCTGCTGCTCCGATTGGTTCCTGTGTTACTGTTACATTTACAGTCCATGTTAATGTGGAGCTAATTCTGCTGTGAGAGTGTGAGTGTGTGAGTGTGTGTGTGTGTGTGTGAGTGAGTGTGTGTGTGTGTGTGTGTGTGAGAGTGTGTGTGTGTGTGTGAGTGTGTGTGTGAGTGTGTGTGTGTGTGTGTGTGTGTGTGTGTGTGTGTGTGTGTGTGTGTGTGTGTGTGCGCTCTAATGTTTAATGAGCAGCTTGAACTTCCCTTATTGACTCTGTCTCCACCTGTGGTGCGTTCAGGCGAATCAGATCAAACACAGTCGACATGCTAACATGCTAACAGGCTGTGAAATGTCATCAGACACACACATATAGACACACACACACACACACACACACACACACACACACACACACACACACACACACTGACACTCTTTAACACTCTCTCACACCTGTCTGAGCTAATGAACCATGTTAGTGTATCCAGGTGGAAACTGTCTGACACTGAGTGTGTGTGTGTGTGTGTGTGTGTGTGTGTGTGTGTGTGTGTGTGTGTGTGTGTGTGTGTGTGTGTGTGTGTGTGTGTGTGTGTGTGTGTGTGTGTGTGTGTGTGTGTCAGTGTGTGTGTGTGTGTGTTAACTCTAACCTGTTGAAACAGCTCCAGCTGCTCTCTGATCCTGTGAACACACACACACACACACACACACACACTGACACACACACACACACACACTCTCACACACACACAGACACACACACACACACAGAGTCCTGCTGCTGTGTGTGTGTGTGTGTGTGTGTGTGAGTGTGTGTGTGTGTGTGTGTGTGTGTGTGTGTGTGTGTGAGTGTGTGTGTGTGTGTAAGGAGCTCAGGTATTTAAACTGCAGCGGTCTGATTAGGATGAGGGTCTCAGGTCTGCAGCTTTAATGACAGCAGGAGAGAGAATGAGAGACATGAACTCAGAGTCTCAGAGTCTCAGAGTCTCAGTCCTCCTGGCTCCCTGACCCTAACCCTAACCCTCCTGGCTGACTCGCCATTCTGTTGTGTAAAATCCAAACTTAGTAAAACGATTCACAGGAGACAGGATGAGATCTGAAGAACAGCCTTGTTAACAACCTCAGGGTCATGAGGCTGCAGGAGCAGGTCAACCTCGATGATCTGTAGCTTCTTACTAAAAGATCATTACTCTATATTTCCTAACCTGAATGTATGAAGAGATTCTCCTACAGTCTCACAGTCTCACAGTCTCACAGTCTCAGAGTCTCAGAGTCTCAGAGTCTCAGAGGACTCTCAGTTTGCATGTCCACAAGTCTCTCTTCAACGTGAAGGGCTGATAACTCATTATCGCCCCCTACTGATGTGGAAATCTTATCACCTGCATTTTCAGCTGATTCTGCGTTACCATAGAAACAGTTTTTGTTCCAGTCTGACTGAAAAGAATTAAAGTCAATAAACTTTCATTTACTTTTAAACTTTAGAATCAACAACATCGTATAAAAGAAAAGTTCTTCATTCAAACTTTAAACCAGATCAATAAAGACGGAAAAAGAGTGTAAAAAAAAACTGTAAACATGACACGACCCGCATCAGGACCCAGAACCATCAGGACCCAGAACCATCAGGACCCAGAACCATCAGGACCCAGAACCATCAGGACCTTAGGTACTACACAGAGAGACTGACAGCATTTTATCAGAGTTCGTACACAGCACAGATGTGGTTATCACCGTTAGCTCTGTTAGCATGGTTAGCTTGGTTAGCCTTGTTAGCCTTGTTAGCTTGGTTAGCTTGGTTACCATCTGTCTGTCACGGAGGATCAGACTCATTCAGCTTCATGTGGCGACAAACAGTCAGAGACACAAACTGAAACTTTAATGTGTGTCATCCAACAATTAAACATCCCAACACACACTGACACACTGATCCATTATTAACACACACACACACACACACACACACACACACACACACACACACACACACACACACACACACACACACACACACACAGTCTCTGCAGGCTTTCAGAAACACTCCATCATAATTTATCTGGAATAAAATATTGATCCTTTTTCTCTTTTTAATATTTATTCTGCTTTTAGACACAAACATCTCTGCCTACCCAGCTGGAACACACACACACACACACACACACGCACACACACACACACACAGTTTTGTTATAAATTTTAGAAAATGACCAGATAAAGTGTTCATCTGAGAGGTTTTAACTTTTAACTCACCGTGACGACAAAAAGTGCTAAAAGGCTCGACACACACAGACTCTGAGAGAGAGTGTGTGTGTGTGTGTGTGTGTGTGTGTGTGTGTGTGTGTGTGTGTCTGTGTGTGTCTGTGTGTGTGTGTGTGTGTGTCTGTGTGTGTGTGTGTGTGTGCGATCATCTTTTTTTCATCAGAAACAGCGCTCCTGCTCGTGTTCGGGTGTCGCTGATGAAATAAAAATGAGCGTTGACGTTTTTAATGTCGGCTCGTGGTCGGGAGAAGCTGTTTGTCTAAATGTGTGATGATGACTTGATGAATGTTTCAGAGCGCGCTCAGACGGCGCTCAGCGTGGCTCAGGATGTGGATGAGTGAGTTAAAACCTTGTAAAAGCTTTAATTTGTCCTAAAGCTCAGTGACACGTCTCTGAAACACTCAGAGTTTGTCTGTTTAAGCTGCACAAACATCAGATATTAAAGGACAGTCAGTGATGTTCATGTTAGAGGCCGCCTGCACACACGCCGGCGTACACCTGTCTCATATCTCTTTGATGGGACAGGAATCACAGACTGACCCTAACCCCCCCCCTCACAGTGTCTAAACCAAGGACACTTCAGCACACAGACACCTTACACACACTGACTGAACCCACTGAGCCACAGCTAACCCCGGATTACAGTTAGAACTCTGGATTTACATGAGTTTAAACCAAGGCGGACAGATACTGGACCACTAACCCCAGATTACCCACAATTCACCTGCTGTCCGAGTAACGATGGTAAAAAGTAACATGAGCCAGTAAAGAAGTAAAACTCAGTATCAGCTGTTCAAAAACCATCAACCAACAGAGACAGAGAGCAGAGAGGGACATTCAAGCTACAACTCCATCTCTGATTATTGTTATTTATTTATTTAAATTAACACTATAATTATTAGTTTATTATAATTATGATAATAATTATTATTCTAATTAATATAACAATAATAATAATAGAAGTATAATAATACTAACAATAATTATTATTGTTATTAATGATAATAATAATAATTATAATAATCATAAAATAATTATTATAAATTTATTGATTTTTATTTTAATTGTTATTATTGTTGTAATTATTATTTTTATTTTATTTTTATTCGTGACAATAATAATAATAATAATTATTATTATTATTTTATATTTATCTTTATTAATAATATTAATAATAACTTTCATTATTATTAATATTATTATTTATTTATTTATTATTTTTTTTTTAGCCTGTTGAAATTAAATTATGTTTTAACTTTTTGACGTTTTGGGGGCGTGGCTGACTGCAAAAGCCCCTCCCCCACCTCTGCATGACTGAACCGCTCTGATTGGTTCTCCTGTTTTTGGGAGTCTTAGTGAGATCAGGGTCCTCAGACCACCTTAGGATACCTCAGGTAAACTCAGGTAACCTCTATCTTCACCTGGACACCCATGATGTCATCAGTGATGTCATCAACATGATCTACCAAGACCTGAGCCCCCCTCCCCCAAGGAGGACCAGAATATACACCACAGAAGAAGAAGAAGGAAAAGACACTGGAGGGTAATTATAAAGGCGTGTGTGTGTGTGTCTCTGAGTGTGTGTGAGAGTGTGTGAGAGTGTGTGTGTGTGTGTGTTTCTGTGTGTGTGTGTGTGTGTGTGTGTGTGTGTGTGTGAACCACAGGGGGATAACTCTGTTCTTTTTTAACCAGCTGCTGAAAAGGTTCCTGAAGACCATAATAAGCTGAAAGATAGTTTCACACTGACCCCCCCCACCACCCCAACCCCCCGACTCCCTCCTCACAGAGAGAGAGAGAGAGAGAGAGGGGGGGGGGGGGGGGGGGTAAAAAAAAACAGAGGAAGTAAAAAAGGAACAAAGAGAAAAAGAGGAGGAAGAGATGAAGATGTGTCCGACTTCCTCCTCTTTTATTTCTTTAGATTTGAGTTTTTTATTTTCCTCTTGATTTATTTTAAACATCTTTTCTCTTCACTAAAGTGTTTCCTCATCATGTGTTTACATTTTTAATTTATCCTCATTATTATCAACAAACTGGCAGTACAATTAACTTGTTTTATTTTATTAAAATAAATTTAATTTAATCATTTTAACTTATCCTCATTATTATAAACTATTATAATTATATTTATTCTATTATTATTAAAATAACTGAATATTTAAAATATTTTGATTTATCCTCATTATTATAAACTATTATAATTATATTTCTATTATTATTAAAATAACTCGCTGTATATTTAAAATATTTTAACTTATCCTCATTATTATAAACTATTATAATTATATTTCTATTATTATTAAAATAACTCGCTGTATATTTATAATATTTTAAATTTTGTCTAAAACTTTTCTGTTTTCATGATTTTCTGTTTTTATAAAACAGTTTGTTCTGAATCTGAAACATGTTAAAGATGAAAAAAAGAGAGGAGGAATAAAAGGAGGAAAAGAAGGAAATATGGAAGAAGAAAAAGAAAGAAGAAGGAGAGGAAATGGAGAGGAGGAAGGAGCAGGAGGAGAGACGGAAGAGGAGAAAATAAAAGTCAGAAGAGGAGGTGAACTGGAAACATTTAATTTCCTCCTTCCCTCTCCTCCTCTCCTCTCCTCCTCTCCTTTCCTCTCCTTTCCTCCTCTCCTCTCCTTTCCTCTTCCTTTCCTTTCCTCCTCCTCCTCTCCTCTCCTTTCCTCCCCCTTTCCTCTCCTTTCCTCTCCTCCTCTCACCTCCCGACACTCCATTACACTGCTACTGATGGTGTTGCTATGGTGATGATTAACACTAATCACTAGAGGATTGTCGTCACCATGGCAACAGCAGGAGCAGAGGAGGAGGAGGAGGTGGTTGGGATAGATGGAGGGGGGAGGCCCACTTAAAGACAACTGTCACTGGGGAGGAGGGGGGAGGAGGAGAGAGGGAGGTGTTTAATATTCAGAGAATTAAAACTGGGAATGAGAGGAGGAGGAGGAGGAGAGAGGAGGAGGAGGAGGAGGAGAGAGGAGGAGGAGGAGAGAGGGAGGTGTTTAATATTCAGAGAATTAAAACTGGGAATGAGAGGAGGAGGAGGAGGAGAGAGGAGGAGGAGGAGAAGGAGGAGGAGGGGGAGGAGAGAGGAGGAGGAGGAGGAGGGGGAGGAGAGAGGGAGGTGTTTAATATTCAGAGAGTTAAAACTGGAAATGAGAGGAGGAGGAGGAGGAGGAGGAGGAGGAGGAGGAGGAG